ATAAAAGTAATTATTTTTTCAAAGGAACTTATTCAGTACCTTTTATAACTTCGTTTGATTTGACTACGATTCTCAGTTTTTCACGCGTATTTCTGCTGTCAAAAAACCAAAACAAAACCCAATTTGCGCTCTTCATATCGTTCTTTCGTAGTAAAAAAATTGAAGACCGTTCGTGGTGGGGAAACTTTTCACTCGTGGTGGGTCGACTTACAACAACAAAACCACATGCTTGATCTGGTGTAGTAAATTATTTTGAGAGTGTATTGGTTGGTATTTTTGTTTACATTTAAGTTGCCGTTCTTGTACAGGTATTCTTTGCTCACCAACATTCTTAAATTATGAGATGTCTACAGATTTGGATATACACAAGCAGGCATGTGTGCAAACTAAGCAATTAATTAAAAAGTTTAAATTTTACGGCATACATCTAAGACATCTCAGACCGAAATTTGGTATGCAAACTTGAATATACACAGTGCGAATTGTTAACAAGCATACTTGGTAAGCACACATGTACCATCATCTATATCATGCTTAACACGCGCTTTAGAATGTTTTTCTTAGTTTATATCGTCAACAATTAAGTTTCGTTTATTTTAAGAATTTCTTTGAAATCAAGTACTTGGTTCAAAATAATACAATTGTGTAGTAGTATTAGCCGTAATTTTTATAGGCTATTACTACAAGTAATTTTTTATGAATATTTAGAATAGACTGATTATTGAATTTGACAGTACTAAAACTTAAGACGTAAATGTTTTTGCGAGTAAAACCTAACTTTAAAGATTTTAAGAGCATTGTCGTTGCTTCACATATTTTCTTTCGTAATTTGCAAGTATTTATTTGCTACTCTCAAAGAAAAAAATACGGTTATTGTAAATAATTCCCAAAAAAAAATGCCTTCCTTCCACTTTGATATATACTGTAACAAATAAAATATAATAAAACAGTATACAAAGCTTATTGAATAATCAAATAAATTGTTTTTTTAATTTGTGTAATAACTTTACTACACAATGAAGTTACCATTCTTGTATGGTATTCTTTGCTACATATATTGCAGGAATAAAATTCTTTCCACTTTTATGCGCTTCTAACACTTTTTTTCCCTGAATTGCCAACCACTTTGAAGCCGTAAGGAACTTGAATGCATATTGAACCAGCTGGTAATATTTTTTAAATAATTATATATTATTTACTGTTAGATCACTGGGTAAGCTTAAAGTTTTGTACGTATTATATGGCAACAGAAGAAGCTGTTTTACCTGTACTTACATCTTTAATACAAAAAGTAAGGTATGTACCTCTTGCTGTGCGCCAGACATCTGTTAAAGTATAAGACGCTTATTGCAAAATCCAGTGGAAGCAGATTTGTTTTGTGTAATAAAAATTTAATTGTTAAATTTTAGAGCTCCATTTATCGTCGAAGAAGTTTATCGAGATTACAGTCGCTTAAAACATAAGAAAAAACTACTGAAGTACTTAGAAGTACTTCAGTACCTGGAAGCAATCTCAACAACTTGAACGTTTAAAAGCAACGCATAGTCTACTGGAATAGTAATTTGTATGAGTATGAAAATTTTGATTAAAAAAATTTAACTCTGGCAGAAAGGACTCAATCCTTTGTTGGATTAACATTCTAAATAACTACACATAAGAAAATATTATGGATAAGATACGCAACAAAATGCAAACATCAACGCCTTTAGATGCTAAGAAGCTAATCGATTATCCCAAATCAAATGCCGTAACTCATGTAAAGTATAATTTCTGATTTTTATAAACTAAACTATTTTTATAAGCTATATATATATATATATAAAATCCACAAAACCAATTAAACACAAAGGCACCTTAAAAAATATTGGTGATCTCATTGCAACTATTTATTTAGTATTTGACTTTGATTTCTACATAATCAAAAAATGATGTATATTTATCCCATTAAGGCTTAACTTTTCTGGATTTCGCTTTAGAATAGTATATACAAATACTTTTATGTATAGATTTCGATATTTATAACTAATGTTCATAATAACTCATCTCTTGGTACCAAACACTATCAAGTTAAACTTCACTTAAACGAATTATTTTCATGTATTATAGATTAAAAACCGTATAACTGAAGCCACATCAACACCCGTGAATCGTTTATCACATGACAATTGCGTGAACGCATCAAATATGATAACGCCATTGCCAAATCCTAAAGCTAACAAAACGCAGAAATATAATGATTTCAAAACGGATTTGAAATGGTGCTTAGATACTATTCAAACTATTTCATTCCAAAAGTACAATATCGAAGCAATACCAATTACCAGTCAGGAAAGTATTTTGCTTCGAGATCTAATATATGTGCTTACAGGAATGCAGGGTTCGTATATTACTATGAACTATAATGGAAAAGTGACAAATCAATTCTTAAATAAATTTACTGTCGAATATGAGATATCGCCTCAAGTGCATAGTACATTGCAAGATATAACGCGCGAAATTTTGCCTTTAGCTAAATATTACCTCTGCATTCATCACTATATGGAATTATGGAGTTTCTCTAATTCAGGGCAAGTCATGGAAGCTTTAAGTGAGGCGTTAAGAAAATTGATGCATGATTATTATGTGAGCATGAATTTAAAAGTTTTTCGTTAAGCATAAATTTGAGGTTTTATTTATTATATTTTTATTCAGTTACTTTTAGCGCAGTTGGAGTCTGAACTTGATAGTGGAAAACTTAGCTTGCACAAAATGCTTTTTTATATACGGCCTACTTTAAACACAATGGAAATTTTAGATAGTGTTATCACGGATATAGCAATGGTATGTTAAAATTTTTAAAACGAACAAGCATATAACACTGTACAGAATTCACATTGTATAGAACAATGTTAGAGGTGGTGCTGTGCTTACAGTTCTTTACAACAAAATTGGGGCACTAACTGGTGATGAGGAATCTCAAAAATTTATTATTCAATTGACTGAAATGGCAGCGGTTCCGTATATGGATATTCTGCAGCTGTGGATACAGAAGGGTGTTATAAACGATCCACAAAATGAATTTCTAGTTGAAGATAATGAAATTATTACTCAAAAAGAAACACCTGCTGGTTACTCTGAGGGTTATTGGGAAAAACGGTATTTCATATGATATTACTTATTATATTTAACAAAATTGTTGACTGAAATTGTTTTTCGTACAGATATGTCATTCGTCGCGAAGTCACACCTTGTTTTTTAGAAAAATTAGTAGACAAAATATTGCGGACAGGAAAATATTTAAATGTTATAAGACAGTGCGGAAAAAAAGTAACGTGTCCACATAGTGTTCAATTGCGCTTTTCACCAGATGATCACAGTTACATTTCCGTTATAGAAGATGCATACCATTTTGCTTCACAAAATCTTCTAGAAGTTCTACTTAAAGAAAATGATTTGATGGGTCATATTTTATCAGTGAAACGTTACTTGTTACTGTATCAAGGCGATTTTATAGTACAATTCATGGACGCTTGTGATGATGAATTAGCAAAGCCAGTAGATAAAGTACTGCCAACAAAATTGGAAAGCCTTTTGGGTTTAACATTAAGACTTTCATCTGCTAAACATGACCCTTATAAAGACGATGTGCATTGTAATCTTCTGACATATGATTTACATACCGAAATATCGAAAATATTTAAAAGAGACGGAGGTGTGTAATAATGATATTTTGTTCTAAAATGAGTACCGAGATGTGCCAAGATGAATATTTTTTATATTTTAGAATTAACAGAATCATTCGATTTGATGGGCGTGGAGTGTTTCGCATTCGAATGTGGAGTGGATTGGCCGATTTCATTGGTATTGGACAAAATCGCTATACGCAAATATCAAATTCTTTTTCGGCAATTATTTATTTTGAAGCATGTAGAGCGGCAGCTGTGCAAGTAAAATTATTGCCTCTAATTTTAAAAATATATCAAAAATTAATATGCATATAACTTGGAATTTTTATAGGATCTGGAAAGAGAATTCCGTTTGTAGAAATTTTTTACCACATTCAGCGGAACTTTATCGTTCGGCATTTACGCTGCGCCAACGTATGATGAACGCTATACAAAATTTGGAATATTACATGATGATTGAAGTAATAGAACCAAATTGGCACATATTTTTACAGAAAATGGAAAAGGTTAAATATCACTTAATAAATGAATAATATTAATATATTAGTAATAAATTTATTAAATAAAAATAGGTGCAAAATGTTGATGAAGTGTTATTCCTTCATCGGGACTTTCAGGATACTTGCATAAGAAACTGTTTGTTGTCAGATGAATTTAGACTTTCTCGAATTATTTACCCACTTTGCAAAATATGTTTGAAGTTCTGTGATTTTATACAGGTAAATAAATACACACATTTAAATATTCACTCTCATATCATACCATTATCACTCGTCTATGTTAAATAACTATATAATAAAAAAATTGCGATGATCTCAAATTTTAAAATTACACAACGGTGTTGCACTATATATAAAAGTAAATATTTGGACAGTCCCCCAATTATGTATGACAAAACTGCCTCACCTTGCCTGTAACATTTCTAATTGAAACAAATCCATGATCTAATACTCTTCTAATATATAAAACATTTTTCTTTCTATGGCTATGTTAGCAGTCGCAACGATTGTTCTCTGACGCGGAGCTTAAGTCTATGGTGTGCGACAGCAACGATGATGATAATTCTGATCCCGAATATGATATTTCGAGTCAGAAACAGGTACATGTTTAAGAGTGAAGAAAGTATCTACTCTATCTTTAGTAACATGTAAAGTACGTACTTTACATTAACTTTGTTTCAAGCCTTGGTTTTGCTTTAAAAGTACACCATTTTTTGTATTAATTTTAATTTATGTATGAGTATCTTTAGTTTTTAGATGATTATAGGTTTTTTCTTTTTTTATGTAAATTTTGGTATTTCTACAGGCTTTAATGCTGACGAAGAGATGTAAAGACAAAATTGGTTTAAAACTTATAAGTGTAGTGTGCTATGTTTATTATACGTGGACTGAGCTCCACTTCTTTATAGTACTCTAAAAAGTAAAACTTTGTACACTCGTTTTGGTTTTACTTTTCCGATTTGCTTTCTAGCACTGATGGTTTGATAGGAAACGTCTTATAACCGCTGAGATGGACATTTCAATTTTTATTCCATACATTCTATAATGCATGGAATGGCTGCAGTTATTTTTGGCACAATTAACAATGCTTAACATAGTACTTTTATTTTTCCGTAAGCAATAACAACTCAGTTATGGCACTATTATTTACGTTTGATTCTAAGATTTGCAAATTAAGGAAAGTCACAAGTATTCGGGGAATACGATTAATCGTATTAATAATAGTAAACGAAATCTCCGGAGTTGTAAAACAAATCGGATTTTGTGTAAATTCGGGGTCTTTGAATATCCGTATTTGCAATTATTATTTGCAGTGAAATTATTATTACTTCAGCTTCAGTTATTAGTAAAAAAAATTTTTATTTGTTAATTTTTTTTTGATAAAGTATATTTTTGCATCGTTTATAAATTTATATTGACATTTAAACGCTTTTATTGTGATTACTTACCAACAAAATGATAATTTTTTTGTTTTGCAGGTGGAAACCGCCCTGGCGCCAACAGATACTTTTTCGCAGCGTGTAAAAACTTTCGATTTGGAGTTTTCGGAACTTGTAATTAATCTACTAAGCGAAATAAATAAAGTCGTTGTGAAGTACTCGTCGGAGAGTTTCTTGAACCTAGTTCACCGTATGAATTTCAACGGGTTCTACAATAATCAAATCGACAAGAATATGGGTCGGTGAAGGAAATGAATTCACAAATTCCTAAATGGGAATTTATTTTAATCCACACAATTAATTCATTGCTTATATTTTGCATAAGATTTTTTTACTTTTACTTTTAAGTTTAACTAGTTAAAACGTTTTATGTATTATTATTTTGTGTATTATAATTAGGCCTAATATTAATATTTTAATGTTTAAAACTAAACAAATAATTTTTTTTATATTTAAACTTTGTATTAATGAATGAGGATGTTCGAATCAAATATTCTATCCCAAAAGGATAATTTTATGTTTTTCATCCTCACATTGTCGTCATCGTTATGTCAAACATTTGTTAAGAGCCTTTGGTGCACTTTATTTTTTACTTTTCCGATTTGCACATTTTGTAGATAATCGAAGCATATTATGTCCCGTGCTAGCTGGGAATTTTTCTTCCTTGGCTGTTTGGTGAATTGATATATCAAGTAAATATAATGAATATAATACTATTTCTCAGTAAAACATTAAGGAAATTATCTTTATACAGTTTCATAACTTCAGGCAAATGTTATATCCGATAATATATTAATTAGTCCATATATTTAGAGGACTAATTTACAGCTGATTATTGCAGGTTCTGGTGCATGAACCAATTTGTTAAACGTAATTGGAATTTTGAAAATCAGGAAAAATACGTGTGTGGTGCTCGCGGTTTTTATTCAAAAGAACAAATGAGTTTTTCTTTTAATTGCGCTTATTTACTTATAATATTATGAAGTGTTATGAAGTTGAAATTTTGCGTTGTCTTTTTCATGTCTACTCATTTCATTAAGTTAGGGCATTTTTATTTAATTATTTTAAGTAATAAGGTAATTTAAAAAAAAAATAGAAAGTATTAACTGACAAAATAGAAAAAAGTACTTGTTGTTCGACCGTGACAGGACTCGAACCTGCAATCTTCGGATCCGAAGTCCGACGCCTTATCCATTAGGCCACACGGTCAGTTATAACACTGTGCGCGCTAATGTGATATTAATGAGTAACCATTAAGTTGTGTCAAATTTACTTAATAATTGTCAACATGATTATTTCAAATATTTTTTGTAAGTAGTCAAAATTTTCTGTTAAATCCCAGCGGCACCATTATGCCAGCGCTGAAAAAGAAAGCGAGGAGGTAATAGCTCTTCGTTTTTATTTTTCTTTACTTTCGACATTTGTGTTCGACATAGGCAATTTCGGTGTTAAAATTATAAAAGAATGAAGAAGAAAAGAATATGAGTATTAAGAATTTCTTGTTTTGCCAACATTGTATACATTTAGTCTGCTTTTAATTTTAATGAAGTGTGTGATATTAGTGCAGTGAACAATTTTTAATTTTTTAAAATAAAATCTAAAAATATAAATAAAATATAATTTGTGAATTTAACATAAACTAACTGTAAGTATATGCAAAATTAAGTATATATATTTAAAATGATAATTGTAATTTTTGTTTTGTATTATGTAGATGCTACTGCGTCAAGAACGATTAATTGACCAATGTACTGCGAATGCAGTCATTCTAAGGCCAGGGTAAAATGCAGTAAACTGCTTTAATTGGAACAGTTTCTAATTCAATCTGAGGAGGATTTAATTCAGTTAAAACGAAGAAGTCACTGCCGTTGAAGTAGTTGTAAGTTAAATTACATATGTTTCTTACTTTCAATTTCAACTTATTAATATTTTCACATGTAACAATTTAACTAACTCATACATTTCTTTTCATCTATTACGTTATTTATAGACTGCATCAATGAGACACGTTATTAAAAAACAACCAATTACGCGAAAGATTTCGTGGAATTTTGGAGAAAGTATACTCATAAATTACAACTTTGATGGTACACAAGGTATATTGTACATAATTTACTTTAGCGTATACAATAACAGACTTTTGTATTTACAGATGCTAAGGACAGATGGTAAGCAGGAACAAGTGATCGGGTCGAGTCTGGAAATCTCTTCAAGTCTGTAGTAACAATTCCACAGAAAAATATTCTTTTATATAAATATGTAAATATGTTATGTTATATTGTTTTATGTAAATATTAATATTTTAATTTTATAAAACATAATATAAAATATAATTCATCCAAAAAAAGGTAAGCGAACATGTCAGCGCTGATATGTTGCATTATAAATTCGAAAAGGTAAGCGAACATGTCAGCGCTTGCCCGCAATGAGATGAACGTGTTAAAGTAATTAGGAGTTTCCCTTGAATAATCAGCGCAAGGCATTACCATTCAGCGCTGAAGCAATCGAATACCTCAGCGCTGAAAGTCCCACTGGGATTTATCTAAAAATAAAATCTGTACATAATATTTAGCGTAAATTTAATTATGTTTTAATGCTGTTTTTTTGGGAACTGATTTTTCATTTTGATTTTTCATTCTGATTTTGTCATTTTAGTATCTCTATATATATCTATCTGAATTATCCACGGTAATGAGTAGCGTTAGTATTGCGAAAGAAGACGTTTATTACATTAACACTTATATATGTATGTATGTATGTATGTATGTATATGTCAATTAGGAGAAACCCAGTAGAAAACGGATCGATCCGTCATCGAAGACGTCTTCAAGACATGGATACATACATGAAGACCGATCGATC